TTCATCTCCTTCTATATTCTCTTTGATGGTCTCCTGAGTACTGCCCAGTCATTCTTTACCTCTCTGCATCACTCCTATTCAGCACTCAGTCCCTTGAGTAATTACTGTACGTTGTTTGTACCATAGATTTCTCCATTATTCCCCTTTGATTGTAAAGCTTCGTCTCCTCCTCCCACTCAAAAGCCAGTCTGCTATCACAAAGTCTCTCTTCTCCTCATTTTTCACCAACACTCTGTCCGTGTTTTCCCGTGAGTGTCCATCGTTTCTTGGTATTTCTTTGTGTCGCTCCTCTTGGTTTTGTTCATTTGCTCCTCCTCAGGATAGATTTTGTCCTCGGTAGACCTTGTCCCCAACCTTACCTCATATCAGAATGGAGACAGGAGGGCATTACGTACCAGGGTGTGAGCGCTTCTTCCCATTTTTGCCACCTTATTACCCCATTTCTGAGGACCCCTCTTTTTTTCAGCTTAGAGATGGATTTGGAGATGGAGATTTGGTCTGACTTTAATGACTGTATGTGCACCTGAATGAATCTGCGTGCATTACAGTAGTTTAATAAAGAGCATTTTAAAATTAAATTCCCCCCTCTGCTGCATTCAGACTAAAGCAGCTTGCTGTAGCATAGCTCCCCCCGGAGGGCACACTCTCCTTTGTTGTCACATTAGCATCTCATTACCCATTTCTTTTCAATCCAAACGCCCAGTCTTATTTCCCTTCCGCTCTTTTGATCGTGTTGCCGATTCCCTCTCTCATTTCCCCCACAATCTAACTGTCTATCTATCACTGTCTGCCGCTCTATCTCTTTTATTCCTTCCTTATAATTTTATTTATGATGATGGCCCTTTTCCTCTTACTCAGTCAGTTTCTCTGTCAGTTCGTCACTCTTTTTTTTTTTAAAGGCCTGTCTACCACATCTCACCGCGCTTGTCTGTATTTCTCTTCCCCTGTGATTGTGCTTGTGTCGCCCCCCCTTTAGTGATTGTGTTTTCCCTCTCTCTCTCCCTCTGCTTGATTAAAATGTGAGAACTGGCCCTATCACTTTCCTGTTAAAACAAGAAAGCGTTTACACCATTTTCCTTTAAACTGCATGTGATGAAAACAACATAATGGACAGCAGATTAGTCGTCCTCCTTCGCCGCTCTATCTCTCTGTCCTTGCTGCTCTCTTTTGTTTTTGCTTCATGCTGCTTCTGCAGCTGTGAAGCCACACAAGAGGCTGGTCTGGGGCCTAACAGAGGCACGGCTTCAAAGGATCCTCTTTAAAAAGTCATTTTGATACGACTGGCTCCTGACTTGCTTTAGACACTGGTGGGTGGGAGGAGGGCTGTTCTTTGGTGTGATCTAGGCCAGGCGGGCCTACTGTGAAAATCTGTACGGAAGTCGAGTTACATAGTATCGAAGTAGGAGTGACTACAAATTGACTGTTCTCACTGCAGCCGTCAAATAGTAGCGTTGTATCAGCTGCAACAATAGTAAAATATGATAATTATTACTGTCAACTGTTAATGTGCTGTGGTTATTAATTCATGGCACACAGCTTGTGAAGCGTGCGCGCGGGCTTTCCAGCTTTACTTTTCGGCCAGCTCGGTCTCGCTAAGCTTCCTCCTCTTCGCTCCTTCCTCACGCCTCGTTGGCTGCATCCTCCTGTGGCATAGCAACTTCTGTAAAATAAACAGACTGCTCAGCATCAGACCACATAATATTTCAGGTCTGCAGCTTATGCTGTCTGATGATACTCTGAGGTGTTAGTTCATGTCAGCTTGCAGCTCTCATAGCTGAGCTTTTCTGTACATACACCAGTACGTGTTTGCTTAGTTAGTTAATAGTCAGTAATATTCATAATACAGTAATACTCGTGGCCATTGGCCATTGATCAGTGGTTGTTGATCAATGGTTATGAGAATTTGCATAATTAAGATTAAGGAACTGACCTCGCAGCCCATTGTTCCTTCAGTGGGCTGGTTTCAGTCATTATGCAATGTACTGTTTATAAGATTGGGGAAACCTACAGTCAGCTGAGACTGAAGAAGTCACTTGGATGAGTGATGAAACGTTTCTCCCACAAAACGCTACGTCCAGATGAACAGAATCAACTTTTGGAAGGTCAGTAATACATTCAAAGGCCATCTATTTATATACATCTTACTAATAGCCAATTGAAACTCTATTGCTTTCAAATTTGCCTTAATTCTTCATGGAATAGATTCAACAAGGTGCTGAATACAGTCCTCAGAGACTTTGGTCCATGTCCACATGGCAACATCATAGTTGGCTACACACCCACGATGATCTCCTGTTCTACCACATCCCAATGTCTTCTGTTTGATTGAGATCTGGTGACTGTGGAGGTCTTTTGAGTCCAGGGAAATTATTGTTGTGTTCAAGAAACCAGTTTGAGAAGCTCAGTCCATCACTAGATGGACATAGTTTGATGTGTTGGACATGGTGGGCATCAATACTCAGGTCGGGTGTGGTGTTTAAACAATGCTCAGTTGGTGTGGCAAGAAAAAAATTCACCCACACAATTACACCATCACCATCCTGAACCACTGATACAAGACATGTTTTAATGTGGTTTACATCAAATTCTGACCCAACGATTTAATTGTTCCATCAGAAATTTGGTCTGGACAAGGCAACATTTTTCCAGCCTTCTATTGTCCAATTTTGGTGAC